ATATTATATATTATCTTTTGTATAACTAATTGAGTTATATACATATATATGAATTGTGTTTGTTTCTTTATTTTTAATTACACATTTTTGATGGAACAATGGTGAATTCAACATATTAAATAAGCTAAGTCCATTTGTTTCTTTTTGAAATATTCTAATTTTGTGATAATAACTAAGAATATATTACATATACATTTTTGATGGAGTAAATTTGAAGTTTATATTTTAGATAAGCTAGGTCTATTTGTTTTTTTCCTTTTTTTGAAATATTTCTACTTTTGTGATAATTAAGTGTATATTATATGAATAGTATTATTTATTTTATTAGTTATTAGTGAATATAGTTGTTAATTTTTTTCCTCCCTCCCTATTGTAAATATTTATATCATAGAAGATTTAACATTGATCTTTTTTTGTTACAAACATAGTCAGGTACAGCAGAGGAGCAATGACGTCATCTCAACAACTGCGGTAAGTACCTCTTGGTTTTTTTTCATTTTGTTTTTTTCTTTATTTTAAATAATAAAATAGTTATGGAAGGGAATTAAAAATTTAGAGAGCATTGTTATTGAAATCTTTCTTCTGTACTAAAAAGAGGAAAAAAAATATTTTTCCCAAACATAAGTTAAGTATTTAAATCATAATTTACTCCTAACTTCGAGAATTTATATAAATGGTAGTTTATTTTATTTATTTTCTTTTGTTCTGTTAAATTGTAAATAAAAAAAGGGATACTGAACATAAAATTAGTTATTTAATTTTTTTTTTATCATAGTTGATTTGTTTTGTAGGACTTTTAAATCATAAATAAAGTGTAGTGCATAATCTAAATTGTTGTGTCCCACATATTAATCTAATACAAATTTTCCAATCAAATTTTGTGAATCTTGGATTAACACCTTGGTATACCCTGAGTATACCCCGGTCTTTGAAAGGGTCAGAAAGAAATATGCTGCGTCTTTTTCTGCGGTAACGTCACGACACTCTTGGTCGTACCAGTTGTTTCTTTGCCTACGGTGATAACCGATCACCTCTTCTGCAGCGGTACGCATACAGTTGGAGATGTGATTGCATTGCGCGCATATATCGATTTCTTCAGATAAATTTTGCAGATACTGGGATAGTCGAGTAGCCAAGTCATTAGCTGTCTGTTGTGATTGCAGTTTTTGACGTCTAGCTTTCGCTGTGCTTTTTCACGTACCTTTTTCATCGCACATAAACGTGTACGGATCTTGGCTGCAACAAGATAATGATCCAAGTCGATGTTGGCTCCTCGGATAGTACGTACATCCAAGACACTGGAACCATGCCTGTCGTCTATCACAAAGTGATTAATTTGAGATCTTGTGTTTTAATCAGGTGACAGCCATGTTGCCTTATGTACGTTAAGATGCTGGAATCTGGTACTACTAACCACCATGTTTCTAGCCGCGGCGAAATCAATCAGCCTTCTTCCATTAACAGAAGCTTTTGTTTGAAGGCTGAACTTCCCGATAACAGCGCCAAAGATACCTTCTTTACCCACCTTTGCGTTGAAGTCTCCTAAAACGATTTTGATGTCATGATGGGGACAGCGTTCATATACTTCCCCAAGCTGTTCATAGAAAATGTCCTTGGTGTCGTCATCTTTATCTTCCATCGGGGCATGAGCACAAATTATAGTGATGAAGAAGTTTTTCGTTTATATGAGTTGCGAGTCTTTCGTTTATTGGTGTAAATGTTAAAACCAATTTTTCAACTTTCGGCTTACCGCAAATCCGACTCCAAATTCGTGCTTTGTTGCATGCCAGTTATAGTAGATGTCACAATGTTCTCGTTTAGACAATCCATGTCCCGTCCATTGCATTTCCTGGAGGGCGGTAATGTCAGCCTTATATTTCTTGCGGACACTAACCAGCTGTATAGATGCACCTTCTCTTTAAAGCGTGTTTCTTAAAACGTTTGCGATTGTCATCAGTAGATCGTTTCCTTATCCGAGGCTGCCTCTTCGTTTGCTATTCGTTTGAATGGTGTTTTTAAATGGTGGGTTCCAAACTCGACGCATAACCACATATATTTTCATGAGAAGGATTTTGCCGCACACATTAATACACTACGCACGGATGATTGTAACTATCCAGAAGAGGCCACGTAAAGGCTAAGTCAACTTGGAGAAAACATTGACAAGGATGGCGCTGGTATTTACCATGTTAAATGCAATCAGACACTTTACCTTGTATGTTCAATCCCATCCTATCATCAGTATGGCTTCAGACCTAGTAAATTCACCTTAGATTAGATATTCACAATACATCAAAGTTTGGAGAAGACTTAAGGAAAACACATCAACACACCATCAATTTTTCGATTTCAAAGCTGATTCTGATACAACGACTTGAAGCACTCTCTATATCGCTATGTTTGAATTTTGTATCCCAACAAAACTTATACGGCCATGTTAAATGGTGTTGAGCAACACTACCGGCTCTGTTAGAATCAAAAATAATAATAAATAACCATCCTAACACAATATTTTACAAAAATGTGATGCTACTTGCATATGCTGATGATATTGATATCATTGGCCTGAGCTCCAGCGCCGTTAGTGTGACGTTTTTCAACTTAAAAAAACAAGCGAAGGAAATGGATCTTGTGGTAAATGAGGACAAAACAAAGTACTTTCTGTCAATAAAGAAATCTCATGTGCATTGTGGGACCAACGTCACTGTTGACAATTATAAGTTCGAAGTTGTAAAAAACTTTGTTTATTTGGGAACCAGCGTAAACAACAGAAATGACGTCAGCCTAAAAATTTAACGAAGATATTTTGATATTTCTTCAGACACACTCGTGTTTTTGCGTATACAGTCGGATTTTGTCGGCATGCAAAATTTCATTTATTTTGAGAAATGGAAGCGTAAATATCGTTTAAATGCACGCATGATTTATCGTTAGCAGGCGATGCAAATATGAATGAATTGTAATATATATTTTAAAATTATAATACAAAACATCATTTTTCGTTACGAAATTACGCATAGCTGCCGCCGTTGACACTTCAGCGATTGCTTTAATACTAATCACTGAACATTGTTTGCTGGAGGCGATGTTTAAAAAATTGTCGACAAATTCCATGTGTAATGGCAAGTGAAAACATTGCGCAATTACATCGGGCGATGCCGTGTAATGGGCACTTTATGTAAAAACTAATTTTTTTTAATGGATGACCCTGTAGTCTAAAATATGTTTTGATTAGTTTTTGCCGCTAGTAAAAGGTAGGTAAATTTGTTGTAACTATTTCTCTTGTTTGTCTGCATAAACAAATTTAAGAAAAATATTGTACACCCATTTTTTATGTAATGCAGTTATTTTTATCGCATTTGATTGCAATGCGTACAACAATAAGAAGTTTGTTTTGAGAAATTTACGGGACTTTGTTTACTTGAAAATATTTTTGTTTTTGCCTACAATGGAAGGAATTTCAAATAAAAGTGCAGCGAAATTGCCAAATCGTTCTATTTTGAATTTCTTTCATTTGAAGGTAAGTCAATTCTATTAAGGACAACAGTTGGAGCTCGAACTAGTTGGTCTAGACACATGTTGGTTCGTTTGGTCATTGCTGACGATCACCATGTGAATGGATAAACTGGTTTGGGTGAAGTGATAATGGTTGAATTACCATTAGTTGAGTTATCTTCTGCTTGGCTCATGCTGTAGTAGGGTAATTTAACTAGTCATCCGGACCTCCATTTGGCTATAGCTGATAGAGGAATGGAACGCTGGTATAAACAGAAGTTTCTCTTATATTTTTTTTTAATTAAATTCTTATAACGATCCCTGGGTATACTCGTTGAGTTATACCCCAGCTGTAGAGAGAGGGCCGCAAAACAAATAATAGTTTGGGTTAATTGTAAGTTATTTTACATTATTTTATACATGTGAGCTTAGTTGAGCAGACAGTTATAACTTTTGTAATAAAACCAACAAATGATATGCGCACAAAAGTGTGTATACTTAAAGACAAATTATTTTAATTTTTTTTATTGCTACAAAATAATAATAAAATCAAATAAAATCACATTTTTTATGATATTTGTCCTTACAAAACTTGAGGAGTTCTTTGCACCTTTAAACCCATTTATAAATAGATTGGCATAATAAAGACATACAAATTTCTAGTTTAATATCTGTTATTGAGTCGTAATTTGATTGGAATATTGTTCTTATTTTCTTCCCATTAAAAAAGTAAAATCATAATTTCTGTCAATGGAATATTTGTAAGTGGCTCATTCAAATTTAATTTTAAATTTTACTCTATGTAACCAATCTACCTTATTCCTACTTACTATTTCATGTGATTTGAAATGAAGTATGCCATTAATTAAAAAATAAATTTACGACGTTTTAAGGGAATAGAATAAAAAATAATGTTGCACAACTCGAAAAAACTTTACTTAAACTTCAGAAAAATCGATTTTCAATAGCACTATTCTGGAGGATGGTTTCATTTAGGTTTTCAAAATTTTAATTTTTGTCTGTATACCATAAATTAAGCTGTTTTAGTTGAATTGTGCATATGCATATTTATGCGGTTAATTGTATGTACTGCAGATGTATGCAATTAAGACAAATGGAAAGTGGTATATTATTGTTTCGTAAAGTAAAGTAAAAGTGTCGTGAATACAAATTTTGTATTATATCGAAGCAATGATGAATATATCATTAGGGGTACTCACAAAAGGTGCCTCATTCATGCACAAATTAATAAAGCCTCTTGAATTTTTATTAAATTTATCCAATTTACGACGCAATAATGAATTTTTGTGAGTATCCTTATTAAGAAAAAGTATATACATTATAAATTTCAAATGTATAGTTTTACCGTTAAGAAAATATTGAGATAAGTTAGTTAAAATTCTCTTGATAAATAAACCAAAAAATAATTGTATTCACTAAAAGAAAAGATTTTGTTCTAAAAACAATTTAATGTATATAGGTATTCAATGATGGATCTACATTACCTCATCTACCCAGTTATGTTCCGCAAGTAAATCATTAAGTATTTCTGTTGAGCTTTTGCCGGGATTTTCCTGTTGTTGTTCAGCAACTCGTCTCGAACAATTTATGTAAAGATTATACTTTTCATGTGCAATTTTATGAAATATATCAGCTCGTGCAGCGCATATTCGACATAGTAAAATATCCTAAAATTTTTGAATTTATTTCCTTTAAGAATTGTATATAAATTGAAACACACTAACCTTTTCGTAAGATATGCGTACGTCAGAAGGTATTGGTTGCATTGTATTTGCATTGTACGAATGCCCAAATAATAAAAAACGTACTGATATACCTGGCTGATGGCAACCACCGCAATTCTTCTGCGCTAAATTATTTTGTCCCCATTCCGTAAAAACGTGACATTTTGGCCAAGTTTCAATTGAAACTATAATGCTACGGGTCCAAGGTGTGATTGAAAGTAATTTCTTCTTACAATTTTCCATTATTGAATCAATTTCACGAACACTTCCCAGAAAATACTCATCTATTTTAAAATTCAAAAATTATAAAACTTCGTAGCAAATATATATATTCCTTATATATACCTTTTTCTCTAGTGATTTCAGAGAAGAAACTTGGGTCTAATACTTGCGATATCATTGTTTGTATATATATTTCAAAATTGTCACGATATGACAAAAAATCTTCCATAATTTTTTCAATGAATTGTTCGGTATCATCTGCTAGTAACTCGGAACGCATAAACTCAACAATCGTTTCAGTATGGGATTGAATTTGAATACGTACAGGAGCTTTAAGATACAGCTTTTTTGTCTCGAGATTCCAAGAAGCATACTTCATACGGCATAAAAACTCGAATATATAATTGAAATATATATTAACAATATATACTTACTTTGCACATGTTTCTATAAAACATTTTTCCATTTTGACAAAATGGCTCATATTTTTGTAATATACATTTGGAATCAACTTGCCAAATTATAGGCCAATCGTTAACTAAATCCGCACGTAAGACGATAAAATCACCAGTCTAAAAAAAATATGAACCATTTAATATCTTTTTTTTTACATTTAATAAATTTGTTGGTTTTTATAAAATGGATTTCTCGTTAACTTTATACGATAACTATAAAGTATGAAAAAAAAATTAAAGTAACAGCTTAAAAAAAACTTATGAGACTAGTATATTTCCTTGATACAAGTGCAGCCTGCGAATTAGAGGTCATTTCCACGGACATAAATTACTGTATGCGTCCCCACGTCCAATCGAACTTGATTAGTACAAACAACTTCTAACATTAGTTGAAGACAAATTCTGCTCCTTAATTCTATGTTCTGTTATATTGACTGGTTTTGGTACCTAATTCATAACTTTGTTAATTAGTTTTATTAGTAGATGAAGTCTAAATTAGTATGCTCTATAACTAAGCGTCTCCAAGAATAAATACCTATACAAGACTGGTGAACTCAGTTCCAGTCAGAAAGTTACATTCTATTTAGTAGTGTAAAATACATGGTGATGTTGATGTAATAGTAATTCAATATTTGATTAGTAATGTACGATTCTAACCCATATACATGTAAGTATAAGTGTACATATATGATTGTTGCTTATCCTTCAGTTCAGTTGCTCTTGAAGTGCAGTATTAACTGAAACTAAAACTATTGTAACCGCACTTGATATTAGTGCTGAAAAGACATAAGTGCGGTGAAGATAAACAAATGATTTAGTTTTAGAAGAACCAAAATTTTTTAAATTACCATAGAACGTACAACTAACTAAGCCGCCAGTAATTAGGAAACGCAAAACTAAGGAAATACATAGTCCAAAGACTTAAACAATGAATTTAGTGAATTATCTAAAGCACGATACTATGGTACAGTATTTATTAAATATTATTAAAGAGGTTTTTCGAAAAGTAGTGAACCACAACAACAAAAATTCATTTTTATATTATTTTAATTAATTGTATTTTTGGCTGACTATACAGCTGCTTCGAGTATTGCCAAATGCCTGTCATCAGTGGTCTTGGATACAATTCTTGTATTTAGTTGTCCGTAATTAATTTTTTAAGCCTGCAAGTACCAGGAATCGAATCGAACCAACTGATCCCAAGCCTTGACTTGACTTGACTTAACTTTTATGTTCGCACATTTATCTAGAGTTTTGTAAATTTTTTGTGAAAGTTTTATTAAAAATTCACTTGCTGTGTTTATATTAGAACGAAATCGTAAACCAGATGTAAAATAATTGAATTATTTAATTATATTTTTTTTATATTTTTAATTATTAAATTTCAAAACTTTTCTGTTTGTAGAGGCATCATTTGTTGCATGATTTATATATTCTTTCTTATGTATATAATCTAATCTAGGAACGAAATACTGAGAAAGTTATGCTAATGTTGCTCCACGATTCGCACGGGCGAATAATATGTATTATTATTAAAATATTAAAGTTTTGTATGTTTTAATACCGATGGAAGACATCGAGTGTTTCAAAATATCGTATTTTTCTTTTATTTTAGTTTGTTTATTTCTCTTGTTAATTTTTAAATCATTGAACAAAGAGTATAGAATCATTAAAAATATATATAAAAAATTAGGCGCTAAAGGCTAAGTCGATGCTTTGCAACTGCATTTAAGTATAGACTATGACCCTGAAAAGGTAACACATGAAAAGAAAGTTATGGAACGTGAAATGGCAGATTTAAAATAGTCAATTTGTATTGTCTACCTTATACTACACTATATGAAATTTACTCATGCTTATTTCAGCAACAATAATAATTGTGAAATATAGATTAACATACATAAACTTAATATTAAAGACTCACTTAAATCATTTGGACTAAGTTATACTTGATAAATTACAGATAATGAATGAAAAAAATCAATAATGCTTTGCAATTCACTAACAAAGGGATAATATTTAGTTGTAATTGTATTCATTTGCTTTCTATTGTTTAATTAAAGGCTGGATGGTCGGCTGCCTTAATACGGGATATACCAGATATAAATGCAGAATAAAGTGTTGACAAAGTCTGTCTGCGTTTTATTGTACTTTTTCCTAATGTTAGTAAACTCACTTATACTAGTAGATATGTTATACTAATAACTCGTAACATGGAGTAATAACAGGAGTGAAATGATACATAATATAATTAATATAGAATCTTTTTCTGATTTAGTAATTAATATAATCGAGTATATATATTATCTCTCTATTGAGTAAAAATCAAATTTAATAGTGGCATTAAAAAGCCTCGCGATGAAACTAATGTCGAAAAACGGTTATTTTTTTAAAATGATGGTTAAAATGTTATCATATCGTGGTGTCTTTTTACAGTCATATTTGCTTTTGATTAGTTAAACAAGCGTATTTGCCACAATTTTTTTACCAATGGATTGTGTTAATGATGAGTGGGAAATTCATGATACCACCTACCTATGCAGACTTTGGTTGCGCCCAAATTACGTTTAAATTTCTTATTGGGGATCCAAATAATTTGGTCTGAGAATGACTGGTCTGAATACAAGATTTCCCTATATGAATACAAAAAAGAACTGGGGAAGTTCAAGAGAACCGATGAAAGTTAGAAGCCTTTACCAATACTTCTAACTCCAGTAGCAGGCAGTCGCGTCTTGGTGCTAATAATCCGCTCATTAGGTTTACTAGTCAGTTGTTAACCGTCAGGTTTATTGAAACAACTATGGGTTCATGAACAGCATACAGACGGATAAGTAGACGTACACCTTAAGAGGGTGTACTCCTTCCTTTCATCTGGAAAGTATAGTTCACTTGGGATAGTTTATATTGGTTGCCAAAAAAATATGCCACTAATTTCAGGGATATTTTGCAAAATGGTCTTGATGAAACCAAAATTGTAGTTTGTACCAGAAAACATAGGGTTTGCACTGTTTCTGCAATCTTTTCTAGAGTTTCTGTGCTGCAATTTACGGAAAATACATTTTCACGTATGGTTTTTGACAAAAAAAAAATTAAATTGGAAACAAAGTACTGTAGCACGCGTCGTAAAATCTAATATGGCACTACTACTATGTCTGAAAGCTTTTGGTAAAAGGTGGGGACCGCAACTTCTGTACTGTACAGTACTCAACAAGGTTCAGCGTGGGCTTAACTCTGTATTAGTGGTGCTCTGTGTACCACGCTATTCATTTATTTGGACCAAATGCTTCACTTAAAGCCGTTTGATCTTATAGCGACCACGGCTCCAATGTAAATCTTTTTAGTCCTACTCCAAATAGAGGAGTCATAGCTTGTCTGAAAGTGGAAAATATATTTAATAGGAGTATAAACATACTATCAGACAGTTAAGATGCTTTAAAGTAATTTAGTTCAGCACAATTTACATTCAGGACGGTTTTTGACAGATACACGTCACTAAACGAGATAACGCAATTTTTTTTTCTGAGTTCCTGGTCATAAATATATTTCGGTAATTGCAAAGTAGAAAGGATAGATAGATGAGGTGTTTTAGATAATCACATAGATCACCTAAAAAATCTGGACATATTGTTGACATCATACAAACGTTTACTAAATTCTTTCTGTGCTAAGCTTTTTATTAAAAAATAAGAAGACTTATCGACATGTAAGCATCGGTATGAAAGTTGGCCACGTTCTGTCAAGAAGAAATCCAGTACTCTCTTTGAGATTCCTCGTAGAGATATCAGCCTTATCAGTTTGCGCACAGGTCACACTGGATTAGGAAGTTCGAAGCGCCCCAAGTTGGGACCTTCAACACCCTCCGAACCCCTCAGTGAGATCATTAAGGAGAGTCTGACTTGGGCCATAATTAACACTGACAACAGTGACGGCACCATCTCCCCAGTAAACTGGAAGAAGGTCGAGCGGGCTCTCCTGAAAGTCTATATGGAAGTCGTGGCCCTTAACCCTGGCCCCACGCCTTGCTGTCGTGACGCAGGCTGGTACCAGGGTCATATCAAAATAATTGCTTGTTCCGATCAACGCTCCGCGGATATATACAAAGAAGCAATTGGGGGACTTGGGGAACACTGGCCCGGTGCACAGCTTAAAGCTGTTTCTATGGACAATATTCCACAGCGCCCTCGCTTCAAAGTCTGGGTACCTTCGGAGCTCGCTTCGCCCGAGGAAACATTATCACTTCTTAAGGCAAGCAACCCCGATCTTCCAACTCACGACTGGAAGGTTGCTTAGGGCAGCGAACCCAAGGTCGACTTCATAGAGGCTCTCGTCGTTCTTGACGAACAATCGCTCGCCCCCCTTCAAGCTCGAAATCGGGTGATTAACTATGGCTTCGGGTCGGTCAGAATGCCCAAGTCATTCGACAACAATCTTCTGGGGTTGTCTCTTCAGATCCGGTCTCTGATGGCAGGGTCGTGGTAGCTGATACCAATATCACCGAAGACGGCGTTAGTGACAAAATCAGTATCCTTTCCTCCGACGACGGAGCCAGTATTTTCTCGTCATCCGAACTGGTTGATGAAATTTTCACAGGTATTGCGCTGTCCCACGAACTCTCACCGATGGCGGACGAGGACAAACTGAACAGCACCGTTGTTAAAAGCACTTAGGTATGTTGAAGGTTGTGCAAATTAACCTCCAACACTCGAAATCTGCCTCGGCAGCCTTAATCCTACGCCTAGCTGAAAAAGGAGAGCACATCCTTCTGATTCAAGAGCCTTGGGTTGTTAATAACCGGGTTTGTGGTCTGAATGCAAACGGATACCGTATAGTATTCGTAGTAGGTCAAGGTAAACCCAGATCTTGTATTGTAGTAAAAAATAACATTAATGCCTTTTTACTCCCTAGATTTAGCAATAACGACAACATAGCCATGGCCATCGAACATGAGGCAAAGGCTCTCTGGATTGTCTCAGCTTACATGGCACATGATCATGGTGCCACTCCACCACATGATTCTCTAAGACTTCTGACATCAGAGGCGAACAGTAAAACAATCCCGGTCATTATTGGACCGATGCCAACGCACATTGCGTAATGTGGGGCAGCAGCCACACCAA